CTATATAGTTATTTAATCAGTTCTATAAAAATTGGTAACTATATAGAGGCTTTTACTATGATGTAATTATATAAAGGTTTTTTTATATAATAAGTATATAAATTGGATTTTCCCAAAGGTATGATTATAAGGAGAAATTTTATATGATGTAACTATATGAAATGTTACTATATAAAAGTCTAACTATATTTATTAATAATTATATAATATTTATTTATAAAAAATTTATTTAAATATATATAATAATGTATTAATAATTATTTATTTTAAATTTTATTAATTAGAAAGTTTAGACATAGTTTAGACATTTAGCTATTATCAAACCTTTTGTCATAGTTTAAACTATTACTAATTAAAGTTTAGACTTTTGTCAAAAGTTAAAATGAGTTTAACCAAGCAACCTTACCATGAATGCAATTTAGGTAACTTCAAATTGGAAGGAGAAACAAATTTAAAAGCCTTGACAAGCATCCGGGCCTATCTATATATTGCATCCTAAAATTTAAATTAATTTAATTTATTTAATTTAAATTTTCAATTTTTAATACATACATTAAATTTCTCCAAGTCACTTTCACTAAATTCTTCATATCTACTTAAAATAATATACATTTCATTCCAATATTTGTACAATTTCGCAAAATCATTATTATTTACAAAATTATCTACTTCATTATTATTTTCATCATATAAATTATTAATAACAAATATTATGACTTTCATCAAACTTCGATATTCATTAGCAGTTAATTTTACAATTGACTGCAGTCCATTAGAAAAAATTTTAATGGCAGGAAAACGTGGATTGCTGCTAGACGGTAATCTACTTCTTCAACTAATTTATTACCATTAACATGTTGCAATTTTAAGACATCGCACATGAAGATAATTTGATAATGAAATAAACCCAAATCTAAATGATGCATTCTATCAGAAACAGTAGCCAAGTAGATATTTATATTCCTTGATAATATAAATATTTATAATTAATATATATATATGTTATTATAATTATTTTTACTTTTGCATACTTACAGCAAATCCCAAAAAAAATTAGGTACAGATTCTATGCAAACAGATTTTTGTGTATCATTTTCAAAATATTTACGCATTTCATCATGAGTTCTTAGTATTACATCATTAACTGATAAGTCTATATTTGCAAGATTGTCCTTTTTAATTAAACAGAAGTGACATAGAAGGCTTGAATTGGAGGATTTATAAACTAAACAAAAACTTGCGGCTTCTGGCCAATCTGCAATAATAGTTGAAATTCTAGGATAAAACCAGGTATTTTCATTATTTATAAAAAGGTCTATACCATTTTTTAATAAAATAATTAGTTCTAGTAAATGACGTAAAGATTTATGAAAGGTATCATGAACTAGATCTTTATTTGCAGCTTCTAAAATTGGTAAATATTCCAAAAGTTGCTTTGCATCCTGTTTATTACAACGCCATATTGGGATATTGCCTAATGTAATATATATTGGATGCAATTGACTTTTTCCTAATGTATCTGTAGTTGTTGCATCTGAATATAAAATAATTGATAATAATTTGGAACCAGTAGGTAAGGATTCTTGCGTAGTTTTCCACCATTTTCCAGTGTTTTGTTCACTGTAAATACTTTCTCTATTATACTATAAAATAATATAAATAAATTAAAATAAATATTATTTAAATTATTGAATTAACTAATATTTACTATTTACCTCATAGTTTTCGTAAGATAGCGCAAAATTTTGTGTTATGTCAGGAACAGTTAAGATATTTTTGATGCACTGTATTAAGTTTTGATAATAAAGAAAATAATCTTTATCCTTATGTTTTGTTATAAGAACTTTACTAAATTCTAGATTAAAAAACTTCATATTATTCATAAATGCTCATCCCTGTTCAATATTTTTTGGTAATGGTGATTCTGTAAGATTTGAATGTTTATTAAAAAAACATATTATTTCATTACCACCTTTATTGTTTATTTTATATTTTGTTACTAATAACATTAGATCTAAGCATTATTAGAAAATTCTGTGCAAGTTTTGGTATTGAGATTTTTGGGTTCTTCAAAAATTTCAGGCTCTTCAGATGAATCTAATATATTTTCAAAGTTACTATCTTCAAGGCTCATCTTTGATATTGCACTTTCAATACTGTCAAATGACATATTTTGTATATCATTATCATTATCCACCTAATATAATTTGAGCTTTTTCTTAAGAGCTTTAAAAAGAATAATCTGGAATAACATAATTACCACAACTTTATCATTTTTATATTCACTACTTAGATTACTTCTTGTATCTATTTCACTACTATATTTTTCACTATCATTGTTATCATCATTATCTTCTACTTCTACTTCTACATTTTTTAAGTATTTTTGGGTATATTGAGTATATGCAAAGCGTTGACTGAATATTCGCATACAAAGGGGACATTTGAAACTCATGTTGCTAAATTAACACGTCAAATTTGATGAAAAGTATCAATTCACTATTCAATTTATATGAGATTTTGTGTGCTAATAAAATTATATTACTACGACTACACAAATTTACGCATTAATGAATGGAACTGGCTGCAAGAATTTGCAAATTTACGCATTATAGCAAAATTTAAATATGCGAAACACTCAGCAATTTTGCTACTGGAAACTTGCCAAGTTCGTGGGTTGGCAAATCTAAAAATAAATGTAACAAGTTTATGATATAACATATAAATATTGTTTATTATTTTGTTTACTATTTCAACTTGCCGGTAATCTGCTAATCTGCGAACCTGACAGCAAAAGTGCTGAGTGTTTCGCATATTTTGAATTTGCTGTAACGGGCTTTAAGAATCTGGATGGCTAATACAGCTTATTCAATTGGCTAATCATCTGATAATCAGCTGCAAATTTATTGGCTTAACACATTTTACAATAATGGATAGATGATCAGCCACAAATTTATGTGATAATCAGTTATAAGCACTCAAGATCTGATCAGCCAAATGAGTTTACTGGCTGCAACTTTTTTTTGCCATGCTTAAAAGCTCCAACATGTGTAACATGTTATTTTTTTATAAATGGGTATTGATTAATACTTCAATTGTACTATATGCTTTTACGAGAGTTTTTTTAAAAATTCTCTCATAAAAGTGTTACAATTTTTTTTGTAATATCACGATGCAAAATTTTTGCATTAGTTCATTCATTTTTCATAATATTTCACATTAGTTCATCCATTTTTTGCAATATTTCGCAAGTTTTTTTCTTTTTTAGTATAGAATGGACTGAATGGCAGAAATGACATTATGACAGCTTGCCTCTTTTTTCTGAACCTCTGATTTATGTATTCCCCTTTTTCGTATTTTTAGTTCCTTATTTTCAAACTTCTGGTTCATGACTTTCCCTTTTTCTCATATATTTTTCTCCTTTCGTATTTCTAGTTCTTCTTCAAATTTCTAGTAATATCTTTTTCTCCTTTTCGAATTTAGTTCAAATCTCCTCCCTCATATATTATTCCAATGGCTACAAAATGTGGCAAAAAATGAAATATTGATGATAACGAAAGAATCTCAAGACGTAATACTGAGAAGAATAGTGAAGCCGAGAAATGAATAAGATTATCAGACGATAATGTTGAAGGTATATATAATATGATATGTATCATATTCTTTATAAAAAATTATATAATATATAGTTAAATTGTATTTTATTGTTAAAGTTAATAAAAAAACAATAGAAAAACTATTAAGAACCAAATTCGCAAATAATTTCTAAGCTTAAAGTTTTTATCACCAGACAAAAAAATCTTGAAACCCGTCTCTTGGGCATAAAAAAAAAGCTCAACAATGATAACAAAAATAATAATAATACAATAGATCTGGAGTATGTAAAGGTAATAAAGATGAATATTATTTAATGTAAACCTGAAATGCTAACCTCATTTGATTAGGAGCTCGTTAAGAAAATGTCAAAAATTTTATTTGAAAATTTTGTTTATCCTTCGCAAGACGAGTACAAACTTGCTACTGAAAAATATTTAAAAGACAAAAACCTGGAATTTATATGCCAGTTCAAAAAAAATCAATGGATTATTTTTTTCAAAAAAAAAATTGCCCTGATTGTAAGTTAAAGCGATTATAAATTTTATTAAATTTCATACTAATATTTTTTTTTTAATAGTTAGTATAACAACATAGAAGCATACGAGAGACGTTCACGTCTAGAGTATACATGCCACCCAAATTATTTTGGACTGCCATAATTATAAGTAAAATCCCAAATTCAATTATGGCATCCCAAATTATTTTGGCACTTTACATAGTAAATTATATATAAACCGAATGAATTATGGCATCCCAAATTATAATTATGGCATCCCAAAATAATTTGGGCAGCATGTATAGTCTAGAGTCAAAGATGTTATGTATTCTGTTTTTAAAACAACTGGGCATAAATTACTGTCTATTAACACTCAGGCTAGTCCGTCAAAGATTCAGGAATGGAAGAGTAAGCCGAAGGTGAAAAGATGTTACAACAATCTATTTAAAAAGGTTAAAGATGGGCAACCTATGACATATATGTCACTGATAATTGATAAGTTGCGAAAAGAAAATAAAAATCCCTCAAAAACACAAATAGCGTATGCGATTAGTGAGTGATACAGAAAGTTGTGGAATCCAGTGGTGATGATAAGTGGAGTACGGTCTCTTGTGTGACAGTTTACTCAAGTGATAAATAATACGACAGGCCAAATACGTGATTAAGAGTGGGCCGAACTGCTATTCATCACCTGAGTACGCTTCACACCTTTTATGTTATATACTGACAAATGTTACCGTACTCCACTCAACATCCTCACCGGACTTCACAACTATTCGTCTCACCGGCAATTAGCATATGTGAAACGTACTTAAATCCTAATAATCAAAACATTCAAATGAGCGAAAGTATAATGAAGTCGAAGATAATCAACAACTTAGTAAGTTTTTAATTTACAATTTGCAAAATGTGAATTATTTGAATTACAGTTTATTTATTTATTTGTTGATTTTTAGTAAAAGTTGGAAAATAGGGATAAATTTACACATTCAGATAATGATTCTCATGATGGTAATGATGTAGATGATAGTGGTGATAGAGCAGCTGATGATGAAGCAGGTGCGGCTGACAATGGTGTGACTAACAATGGTAGGCCTAATGATGATGCAGCTAACGATGGCATAGCTGACAATGATATACTTTCTAGTGACTCTTATAACACCGAGGAAGATGGTCAGTATGTAAATAGTTTAATAGAGAATTATGAGTTGCGTAAGAAATAAATATCATTTTTTACATGTATCAAATAATAGCATTTTTTTTACCATAATAAATAAAATATAGTTTTAATAAATAAAATGATTGCAGATTTATTTATTTAATTCTTAACAACACAGGCGTGACATAAATAAATCGTGACTGAAATTTGTGTTCAATTTGTGTTTAATTTGTGTTGATAATTCTGGTAAAATTTTGTTAATTTTGGCCAAATTTTGTTAATTTTGTTAATTTTGGCCAAATTTCGTTAAATTTGTTAAATTTGTGTTGAATTTGTGTTAATAATTTTTAATTTATCATAAGGGAATATATTTAGTAATTGTGCATATACAATTTCTGTACGATGTACATGATTTTTTAAAATGCAGATTTCTGTAATTTATGATATCGTATTTTCTGGCCAATCAAAATTAGGCTGATCTTTGCATGTGATTTAATTGCCGATTCGTATATAATGGGTAGGAATTAACATAGTAAAACGTGGGGCAATTTAATGTAGATCACTGCTAATTCCATCACTTTGCGTTAACCAAAAAATTTGACGCATTTGTTATTAAAAGTAGATATTAAATAACGTCATGTACTACATGTTAAAAAAGCCACTAAAATAATAATAAGTTTTTTTTTCATTTCATTTTAAAGAGTTTTATATAAGGGAACAGCAGATTTCATAATACTTTTCAGTTTATATAAAGGTTTAAAAAATTCAAAATACATTATATTTAGCTTCTTTTTTGCCGCTTTTTGGCTCTACTGTGAGTAGTACTTTCAGTATCTATTTCTTCCTGACGTGCAACAAAATTATTTTCTTCAATTGCATTTTGCTCCAATGCTTTTTCAGACATTTCTTTTTTAGAGGAAGCACTATATCTTCCTATCCATCCTTTTATCGTTTTTATCTCTGGAATATCTTCAACGCTAAGTTCCTTTTCGCGTACTAATTCTAACAGGCTTTCATGCATTTTTTCAGCAGTGTATCAGTCTTTTGGATTGAGATTACCCGCGTAAAAATAAGCCTGTAAGTATTGTACAACTTTCTTGCTTATGCGTTTACCTCCCCCTTTGTTACCCATTTTCTGATTTTCTTTTAACGACCAACTAGGTTTCAACGGAAAATCTGCATCAACCCTATCAATATTCGAATTGTTAGTATTCATTTTATTTTTTTTATTTTATAAAGAGAAAAATTCAAATTACCCACCCCATTTGACCTGATGTTGGATTTAGTGAATTTTGTGTTTCATCATGTTCAAATGATTTTTGTATATCTTTTTTATTGACAATGATGTTAACCATGGTGTCTTTGGTTTTGTGGGTGCTGTATATTCAGGATTAGGACGATTTATTTCACCACAAAATGTTCTTATGTCAGCAGGTGAAAATTCTGTCCATTCTCCAATGTTTGGAAGCGATTTTGCTCTAACATAACCTGCAGCCTTTCCAGTTATTGGCCAATCCTACACAAACCATTTGGAAATGCCAGGTATAGTCTTAGTTTTTTTATTATTAGCGTTGCTATTTAAGAAATGTGAAATAATGACGAGATTGTAAGGAAATTCCAATAAATTTTAGTAATAAAATAATATTCATACCATGATTTTTCCAAAATCATGTTATTATTTTTATTCCGATTAGGTTCAATTTGAGCAACTGAAGTTCCACTCAATTCTTCTATTGCTCTTTCAATATCTTGACCTGATGTAAGTTCACAACCAATTCGAACATATCGCTTTATTGCATGAGCAATCTTTTTTATTTATATAAATAAAATATTTTGAATATACAAAAATTATAAAGAAACCAAACAACAGTTGACATACCGTTGCATGGTGCGAATCTACAGTAGTTTTTGCCTCACCAGGTTCCAAAAATATCCACCCACGTACTTCAACTCCATACCAATCATACCAATGACTTATGATAGCCATTAGCTCAGAATTATGATAATGACCTCCATTGTCAGAAATAATTTTAATCCAATGTGGACGAGGATTTATGGTATTAAATACAGCTTCAAAGCAAGATGCTGTAAACCAGGCATCTTGTTTAGTGTCACAAGACCAATGGTCATATGCTTGGACGTCCATTTTTTCATTGTCTTTTTTTTGAAAAACAAGAGTTGTATGAAGTGTCCAACCCCTTTTACCAAAAAATTCACTTTTGGTTTCTCTTGCTGTTGTAGGAAGAATGCGCATTTTGTAATCAACTATGATGACAGCACCATGATCATCTAACTCATCTAATGCCGCGTTGAACTGTGCACTCAAATATCTTTTTCGTGTTTGATGAGCAAGGTAGCAGGTGAGTTTTTCCCGATATTCTGAAAGTAATGTATTGTGTGGATCCCCTAATATATGAGACAGAGTTGTAAAAACTTCAAAAAGTTGATCACATGCTGTACAACGTGAATAATGTTGCTCTACACATTCGCCAAATGCATACAGTAAACAGTGATTTATGCAATCCACATGTTTTGTTGTGCCATTATTATATACTAATAATTCATTTTCGTAATCTTTTTTTAAGTGACGGCGAAGCATTTCCAGTTGAGTTATCAATTCATTCTAATAATAATACTGTTTATAATTAGAATTTGTATGAAATAATAATACAAGGTAATTATTCAACGTTTTTTACCTTTATTTTTTTATCCACAATATTATTTGATACTAATTTAATCAAATCTTCAAATGGTTGATAAGCATAATCATTACAAATAAGACAAAGTCCTCCTAAATCATCCCGATATTTGAATCATCCATTTTGTAAACGAGCTATAAAGGAAGTTCGTTTCATTCCATCAGGATATATAGCTGAGAATTTTTCCCATAATGCACTTTTTTGGTCTTTAAGATAGAGAACAGGTAATTGTGTCTTTTTGTCAATATGATATGAACTCATATTTACGTTTGCTTTATCAGCAAAAAATAATTCAAATTCTCTTTCTTTAATTTCGGCCATTTTTTTATGAACAATAATAGGCTTATCAAGGGCTTTACATCCTGGACTATTTTTACGGTGATGTTCATGAGCAGCATGAATTGTTTTTGGTGAAATTTAAGAAAATATATTCTTGTTATTTAGTATATATTATATAATAAATAATATCAATTTATCGTGTCTGTAAATCATGTGACCTTAAAAAAAGGTACCTGTAAATTTTCCATCAATTCCTCGTATATAAAATTCTCTGCAACTATTGATAAAATTCGAATTTTTCCATTTGAACCATTAGGATTAGAATCAAGACTTTCACGCAATGAATACCAAAAAACATTTGTAGTGTCTTTGTAATTTTCAAATTCATTATTTCTTATTGTTGAATTTAGTTTGGTATTCAAAAGTCCATTTGAAAATAAATTGAATATTGTTTCAATATCACCTTTAGGATCTTTAGCACGGCTCCAAAATTCCATCTACAAGAATATTTTGTAATTAAATAGTGAATAAAAAATGGGATCAGTTTTAATAATAATACTTACATCAGAAATATCTCTTTCAAATGGGGTAATATTTTTACATCCAATTGCCTCAAACATTGCTCTCCATGCTCGAAATTCACGCATACTAATTTTATGATTATCATTATAAACATCACAAATAAAACTTTTTATTTCAATAATAGTACTTTTTTGATTATACCAATGATACAAAACACGATACCAAAGATCTTCATTTCTGGGCACATGCTTTTTTAGATATAATTTGAACATGTGTCGCATAATTCTTTCATTATTCCAATCATCAAGAGTACAGGTCTTAGGGAATAATCTTTCATATTGTTCTTTAAACTTGAACTGCACAAGTGGATGGTTAATTCCAAAAAGATCAACTCCATCACAATTTCGCAATAAATTAGTTTGATTCCAAACTGAAGAAGCTGTTATATCTTGAAATTGTTTTACCATTTCACCATCTTGAAAAATACTAATTGAAAACAATCCTCCTTCAATCTTTTGCCATATTACGCTTTGTTTTTGTTTGTATTTATACATAAAACTAGATGCAAATCCTTCGTAATTATTATTATCTGGAATAGACGCCATAAAAATTTTAATACCATATAAACAAATAGTAAAAGGACGAAAATCTACATTATTGAGCATTTGTTGAATCATATAAGGATTATGAAAACCTAACATTGTTGCTCCCAGATATTTTGTTTTACTTTTATTACCAAATACACGTCCATAAATAGTATTAATAGCAGCAGAAGAACTAGATAAAACTCCACTATTAATTCCTTCTCCTTCACAAATGAAACCTGGTATATTTGGATTTTCTAAGTTGCGAACTATTCTAATAATAAAGTGTTTTTGATTGAATTTTAAAGCAACTTGAAAGCCAAGTCTTATTGGAATAGCATAAATATGAGAATCTTGAATTTAAGAGTCAGAAAAATACCACCAATCTCGTAAAAAAGGACCATAATGAAGTTCTGGCACCAGGCTACCAATAGTAACAAGTTTTCTAGGAGTAAAGTGTTCTTTTGACATTTTAAAATTGGGGAACGCGAGATTCAGAACGGGTTAATTTTAATTATAAATCATAGCCCCGCAGTAGTTATACAAAATTTCTACCTATCACATGCGGATCGGCAATTAATCATTTAATCATGCATGCGTTTTTTGTCTTATTTATTTTTGTCTCTTATTTCTTTATTCTTTTGTTCAATATTTTTAATTTTTTTGTCTCTTCTTTCTATTATTTCTTTAATTATATACAATATATTTACATATATTTCATAATTTATTGCTTTGCAGGTATAGAAATATTTGTTTATTAATACTAATTATTTTCATTTTTTTTTACCTCTTTGTTATTTTGTATCGTAATACTAACAATAATATC